ATGTTTAACTTCTCTTCATCAGAATTTTACCAAAAAAGTAAAGACAAGCTACCGACTATAAAAGTATCTTTCTTGAAAATCATGTCTCTGACAAAAATCTAATAACCAAAATATATATAACACTTCAACAATTTAAGAACAAAAAGAAAATCTAATCATAAAATGGACAGTTCACCAAAAAGAACATTCCAATGGCCACTAAAACACATAAAAACATGCCATCACAGGGAAGCAAATTTAAAAACCACAATGAGATACCATTACCCTCCCACTAGGAGCCTGGGTAATGTAATGGGTTATACGTTGGGCTGCTAACCGCAGGGTCAGCAGTTCGACTCCACCAGCCACTCTGTAAGGGGAAGATAGATGACTTACAGCCTCAGGAAGGTTTCCACAGCACTTTACAACAACAGGATGGCTAGAAAGTCAGTGAAAAGCAGATAAACCCTCAAGGAGGATAGGCTGGTGGAATGGCTGCAACAATGGGCCCAAACAGTGGGCCCATGAGCAAAGCACAAAACTGGGTAACTGCTTTCGTTCCATTGTGCATGGGGTCGTTAGGAGATGCAGTCAACTGAAGGGCACCAAATAACAGTACAGGATGGCTACAATTTAAAAAACAAAAACAAAAAAACCCAGAAAATATGTATAACTATTGTGGAGTACAATGTGGCAGTTCCTCAAAAAAACTAAAAATAGAACTATTATAAAAACAAAACACAAATCCGCTGCCACTAAGCTGATTCCAACTCATCGCGACCCTGTATGGGGTTTCCAAGGCTGTATTTTCACAGGGGCAGAAAACCTCAGCTTTCTCCCTCAGAGCAGCTGGTGAGTTTGAATTGCAGATCTTGTGGTTAGTAAACAAGTGCTTATCCTACAGCCACCAGCTTTTGGGTATATGCCTAAGAATGGAAGTGCACTCCAAGGTACACCCAGAAAACGAAAGCAGAGAATCAAACTGGAGACTTGTACTCCTACTGTGTTCATGGCAGGCCTATTCACAATAACCAAAAAGTAGAAACCCCCTACACACTCACCGACTGATGAATAGACAAACAAAATGTGGTACATACATGCAAGGAGGCTTCAAAAAGTTTATGGAAAAATAGAATTAAAAGATAATGGAATTTTTCCACAAACTTTTTGAAGCCCCCTTGTACAATGAAATACATTGAGTAGTATAGTCAGCCAGTAGGAAAATGAAGTCTTATACATGCTACAGTATCAGGGGAACCTGATGACATCATGCTGAGCAAAATAAGCCAACCATGACAGGACAAATATTGTATGACCTCATTAATATATAAACTAACAACAATAATAAAAAAACAAACAAGTAAAGGCAAATGTATAGAAACTAAAGTGTTTTTTGTGAAGGAGGAGAAAAAGGGAGGTAAACAATGATGGGAAAATCACATTGATTAACGGTGGGGTTCTACAGCCAACTGTAATAGCTGTCGATAGTTGTACACCTATTAAAAACTTGAAATGCCAAAAGCTGTGATATATTTATAATGACACATAAAGTACACGCTAGCCACAAGGTCGGCAGTTCGAAACTACCAGCTGTTCCGTGAGAGAAAGATGAGGCTTTCTGCTCCCGTAAAGATTTATAACCTCAGAAACCCTGTAATGGGGTCACTATGAGTCGGAACTGACTCCACAGCACATAACAACAACAACAAGGATGACTGTTAGTGTTGTTGTTAAGTATTGTCAAGCCAGTTCTGACCCATAGTGACTCTGTATAGAGCTGCCAAGGAACAGCTGGTGAGTCTGAACTGCCAACCTTGCGGTTCACACCGACCTTGCGGTTGAGTGCCTACAATGCCTCACAACCAAATACCTCGTGGGGTTTGTTTCCTTGATTTAGAGTTTTAGGGTCATGGTTTCATAGGCTACCCCAATTAACTGGCCTAATAACCTAGCAGATTACACATTGGGTTACTAACCACAAGGTCAGCAGATGAACTCCAACAGCCTTACAAACCCTAAAGAGGATCACTGTAAGTTGGAACGAACTCCACAGTACACAAACACCTCCTAGTTCATTGAGTAGTGCCTGTGAACGTACAAGTGTACAAACAGCTGTCCAAAGGCAAAACCATTGCCCTCTATTTACACCTGAAATACTAGGAAAAAGGAGAGAGTCAGGAATAGGAGGCGGCTATAGAATGTGTGGAGTCCTGGTGTGGCACTGTGGGATAATGTGCCAGACTGCAAAGCCATTTGAACTGCAAGGTCGGTGGTTCAAACTCACCAGCTGCTCCTTGGAAACCCTGTACAGGGTCGCTATGGGTCAAAATCGACTCGACAGCACTTACAACATAGAACGTGGGGCTAATTTCCTCCATGAACTTCCTTTTCATTGAGGCCAGACTGAACGGTGCTTGGTCACCATTACTTATCATTTAGATCAAAGAGTCCATAGAAGAATCCCAATCAAAAGGGGAGAAATGCAGAACAGAATTTCAAATTCTCATGGACTCTATACCTTATGGAGCCAAGGAAGATGGGTGAAACCCTGAAACTATTGCCCAGAGATAATCTTTAAACCTTAAGCAACATGATCCCCTAAAATCACCTTAAAATTAAGTAACAGAAAATAAAGTTTTCTGCTCCTGTAAAGATTTACAGCCTCTAAACCCCTCTATATAAGTTGCTATGTGCCAGAACTGACTCAACAGCACACAACCACCACCACCAATAATAAAAGTCTGCTTTTTAAATACTGTTCTTGTTGTTATTAAGTGCTGTTGAGTTACTTCCAACCCATAGCAACCCTGTATAGAGTTTCTGAGGAGCAGTTGGTGAGCTTAAACCACTCACCTTGAGGTTCAAACAGACTTTGCAGTTCAATACATTAATATGGGATCAACTTGACAACAGTAACTCCAAGGATGAGACAGGAACCTTGGGAAACAGTGAATTGATGTTAATGAGAAAGGAACAACTCAGGAGGATGGAAATGGCTGGTGCCCTGAAGGATACAATCAATGTCATTAAACTGCAGATGGAGAAACTGTGGGGTTTCTATGTTTTGCTGCATATACATCTTCAAGAAATAAATAAATAAAATTTAATTAAAACGAAGTTGAGATAGAACATATATTCACTGGTTTAAAGCCCAGCATAAATAACTCATTAATTTTCTACAATTTGGAAAGGCCTAGTAATTTTTTTTCCCAAAAATAAATAAATAAATAAATTTTTCTAAAAGAAAAATGGAAATAGGAAATACCTGATGTAGTTAAGTGAGAAAAATAATTCATTGTTGTTGATGAGTGGTATCGAATAAGTTCGGACTCATGGCAAACCTGTATACGGTTTCTTAAGGAGTGACTAGTGAATTCGAACCACAGGCCTTTTGGTTCACACCAACCTTGTGGTCCAGTGCTTATTCTACAGTACCACACCAGGACTAGTTTTGTGCCCCCCCTCAAATACATCTATCTATCTATCTATCTATCTATCTATTTATCCATCCATCCAGAGTCCTGGTGTGGCGCTGTGAAGCCATTTGAACTGAAAGGTCAGCAGTTCAAGCTCACAAGCCGCTCCTCGGAATCCCAAAACAGGGTTGCTATGGGTTGGAACCGACTCAACGGCACTTCACAACAACAACATCTATATATTTTCAAAGAAAAATGGATATGGAAAACACATTTGTCCAGTATAAACCCTGATGCAGTTAAGTGAAAAAAATAATTCATTAATCTCCTGCAATTTTGGAAAGGCTAAGTACTTTTTCCCAAAACATCAGTTTTTCCCAAAAAAAAATGGATTTAGAAAATACACTTCTATGTAAAAAGCTTGATATGGTTACGCAAAAAAAAAAGTTAAGAATAACTCATTATTTCCCTACAATTTCATAACAGCCCTTCCTTAAAGTTAGCCTGAAATGTACCATTGTTTTGTTAAACATCACACTCTCAAACTGCAACTTAAAACGTGAATGTGTTGACCACAAAACTGATAAAACTCTTCACGCCCCTCCATTAACAGGAATTCCTTTTAAGAACTTAAGGTTGGACTTGGCTGCTTTTCACCAGGTGAAGGGAAGTACATGCCCCTAGTGTCCAAAGACACTTCTGGGGTGTGTCACGTAGACACGTAGCCACAGAATTCCAGCGCTCCCACCTAAGGGTAGGGAGCAAAGGCACATAATCACCTGGTCTAACAGGGCCAACAGCTATACACAGCGCTCCCTTCCAGCTAAGTCCTTAACTGGATGTGCTGCCCTTTTGGACTCTGATGTCTACAGCAGTAACCCTTGAGGCTTAAGCTTTGGCAAACAAGGCTGGTGGCGATGGAGTGGTGGAGCGCTGGCCTTCCCTGACAGACTTTCCTCCCGGTTGGAGACTTTATGGGTCACATTGTAAAGAGCATGCAGGGACTCTCACCCAGGTATCATGATCCCAAACCTGGGCTACACGGTCCCCCTCCTTCCCAGCTAACTACTCTCAGCCTAAGAAGCAGTTCGTGATGAAGGAGAATGGCTGTAACTGCTCTGCCTCAAATTTCAGAATTTTTATAGACAGGAGCTGGGTGTGGCGATCTGATTTGAAGACCGCACTAAGGGAATGTTCTGAAGCTGCGTTTACATAGCAAAAATCCAGATTTCATTTAGACAATATGTTCATCTGGGTCAGAGGTGGAGGAGAGTCTAAAGCACCCCAAGAACTCCTTGGTATATTAGCACGATCCCCTCCAGTCTATGGGCCTCGGTTTCCCTATCTGTAATGAGACGGAGCTGGACAGCGGCCTTGTAGTTTCGCAGTTCCAAGGAATTCCAGAGGACAACCACCGGCCCACCCACGCACCCCCAAGTACAGGAGGGCGGTAAAGAGGGCGGAACGGGAGCGGCCACCCAACCCTAAGCACCCTGGCATCCCTTGGGGGACCCGGAAGACATATGACAGTACCCCCCCTGGTGGACAGAAGGAAGTGCGCGGAGTGCTTGGCCCCAGACTTTTCGGGAGGCGCGGGATACTCACGGGTCCCCACGGTCTGGCCCCCGGCCGCGGCAGTGGATGGGGTTGAGCTCGTCCTCGGGAAAGGCGTGCGCCATGTAGTTGTCGTAGCCGAAGACGAACATGCCGCGCGCCAGGTCGCGCATCTGGGCTCTCAGCTGAGGCGGAAAGGCGCTGCTGTAGCGCTTCTCATACTCGTCCGGCCCGCGGCCCCGGCAGCCCAGCAGGTAGCCCCAGTGGGCCGAGCCGCACACACCCGGCCTGGGGCGCCTTGGGGCACGGCTCCGGGCGCCCGCCGCCCCGGGACCCGGAGGCTGCAACCACGAGGGCCCCGACGGCTCCCCGGGCCGGCCCGCGGGCCCCGAATCATGCGATGCGAAGCCGTCGGGGCCCTTCAGGCGCTGGAAGCCGAAGCTGAGCGGAAAGCGCTGGTAGAAGCCCATGCTGGGCCCCAGCCCGAACACGAGCCACAGAACCCCATGGAGGCCGAGCCGGAGGAGCACCAGCCCCAGAACGAGCGCTCGCCATTGCATGGTAGCGTGGGCGCCGCGGGCATTATTTTAAAGCGCGGGGGGCCTGCCCCACCGACCACGGCACCCCACACTAGCCCTGTAGTCCGGCTCACTTCCCCTTTAAGGAACTCCCCCGTGACGCACCAGGAACTGGTCCATTGTCCCCCACCCCCAGTCCCTCGGGCCCGCCGGCCAAACCCCGCGTTCGCCCGCCCGGTAGCCCCGGATTGGCCCTGCTCGAGCCCAGACTCGTGGGGCGCGGCCGGGACTCCCCACAACGCTATAGGCCGCCCAGACGTCCTCAGCGCTGTGAAACCATGCCCCTCCGCTCTGACCCCGCCCCAATCTCCACCCCCTGGGCGGTCCCGAGTCCGGATGGGCTGGTGTAGCGAGTAGGGACCGCTGGAGCTTTGGGCGAGGGAACTTCCAGCCAATAGGAGCGCGTCACGGAGCGCCGGCCGGTTGCCGGACTGCGACGTGGCCTGATCCTTTGGGCTTTGGACCCGTCACATTGCTGGCGGAGCTGAAGTGGGAGATTGGCATACCAGATCTAGTTGAGGGGTGATGGCGATTAAAAGACACTTGAAAGAAGAGAGAAACAGGCATGTCTACATAAAAAGAGCACTTTTCGCAGTGTTATTATTGTTAAGTGCCATCGGGTCCGTTCTGACTCATAGCAACCCTGCATAGGAATTAGGAGGAACAGATGGTGGGTTTGAACTGTCGACCTTGAGGTTAGCAAGTGCAGTGCTTATCTACAGCGCCACACCAAGACTCACACAGTAAAGGCAGAGTCTTTAACTTGAGTGTTTATTTGTGGTGGGCCAGAGGGTGTGATGCTGCCTTTATCTCTGCTGATGTGAAGTGCCAGTGAGTTATTTCAACTTTTATCGACCCTATCTATATATGGTTTCCAAGTTTAAATCGCCAAACTTGTGTGTAGGTTGTTGTTGTTAAGTGCCATCAAGTCAGTTCTGACTTATATCCCTCTGTATAGGGTTTCCCAGAAGCGGCTGGTGGATTTAAACCACCAACTTTGTGTTTAGCAGTCCAATGCTTATCCTACAGTGCCACAGCAAAACACTGGTGTACTTTTATTAGAACTTCCTAACTTGTAAGAATTGCTCAGGTACTTTTAAAATGCAGATTCCCAGATCCCAGCCCAGATTTATCCAACTATTATCTCCAACTGAAGGTCTCAGGGTAATTATAAAACTGCTCTTGGGTAATTCTTGGTGGTGGTGGTATACCATCTGTCAGTTCCAACTCACAGTGACCCTGTGTAGGGTTTATGAGGCAGTAGAAAGCTTCATCTGTCACCTGCAGAGCGACTGATAGATTGGAACTGCTGACCTTGCAGTTAGCAGCTTAAGGCAATTCTTGTTGTTGTTTTTGTTAAGTGTATAGGGTTTGAACTGCTGCTGCTGTGGTTAGTGGCCCAATTTGTAGCCCGGTACTTAACAATGGCAACAATGTTTCCAGGGCTCCTTGTATGTCCTATTATTATAAAGAATTATTAAGAAAATTTTAAAAAGTCAGTCCTGAAGCTTTTCATGTAATGATTTAACAGTTTGGGGGTTTCTTTTGTTGGTTTGCTGCGGTTAGAAATGTCTGCTAAGGACTGTCGTCCCTAAATTTAGACCATGTGCCAGTTACACCAGAGTTCCTGAAAAACTTGGAAGGCAAGACTGATGGGGCCCCTGTTAAGCTGCGTGACAAAGAGAGTGATTAAGACGATGAGAAATTGTCATGTGTTCCTCTATAACATTGTCAGGGTCAGGGGACATTCTGCAATACAGGGAAATAATAAGGATTAAGAGACCAAGGAAACATTTGATCCTCACACAGTGACTGACACATATTGAGACTAGGTCTTCTTTGTTAGGTGAACCTATAGGTTGTTGGGTTTACTCTACCCAGAGGCCCCACTGAAGAAACACCTCACAATCTGCTTGTTAAAACTGCTGTTGTTGTTAATTCCGTCAAGTCAATTCCCACTCATAGTAACCCAGTATTGGGTTCCCAAGGAGCAGATGGTCAGTTTGAACCACCAACCTTGTGCTTAGCAGTCCAGTGCTTATGCTACAGATAAAATGCCACACAGCCAAGAAGACCCTAAGGAGCAATTCTAAGCTGTGACACATGGGGTCACCTTGAGTCAGAATAGATTTGAGGGCAGTGGTTTGGGGTTTGAGAGTGATAAAGACCCTGCTGGAAGCCCAACCCCAGTTCTTAACCCTGAACCTTGAGACTCTGCTTTCCCAGAACTTGCAAACTGAATGTGAAGTTTAAGCTGCTTGCTTCCTTCCTAAGTGATGTTCAAGCAAATTAACTTAAATTTGATCTCACACCACAGTGAACTGTAAGACCACATTGATGACAGCTCCTGTCTACGCGTTAGAGACAAACTCTAATAAAACTACGTATTTTTTAACAACCAGAGAAAACCACCCAACTTCTAAAAGATGCTTCTCAGGGTAAAACTGACAACAGCTGTCAAGACGTCTGGCTCTGCATAGTTGTCAAAGCACTTTCATTTCATCTTCACAGAAAACCATGTGAGGTCTGTTTCATAAACCATAATGGAAGAAATCAGGCAGAGGAACTCAAGTTGTCAGAACTAGGTGGTTGCAGGCAGGATAAGAACCACCACCCAAGTGATCTCCACTTCAGGGTTATTTATATTACAAAGAGCCCTGGAGGTGCGGTGGTTTACAAATTGGGCTGCTAACCACAAGTTCAGCAGTTCAAACCTACCAGCCACTCCCTGGGAGAAAGATGAGGCTGTCTGCTCCTTATACATTCAGTCTCAGAAACCTGAAGAGGCACTGTTCCTACAGGGTCCTTCCTCTAAGGTGGAATTGATTTGATGGTGACGGTTTTTATACACATTACAAGTATCTGGCCTTCAAGGCAAGTCTTTTCTCCTTTTCACAAATCAGCCCACAAGCAACTATGTTCACATTGTAGTTTTATCCCATGAACCTGGTTCTGACTCATAGCGACCCTGTATAGGGTTTCCGAGGCTGTAAATCTTTGCTGTTGTTGTTGTTAGGTGCCATAGAGTTGGTACCAACTCTATGCACAACAGAACAAAACATTGCCCAGTCCTGGGCCAACCTCACAATCGTTGCTACGCTTGAACCCATTGATGCGGCCACTTTGCCAGTCCATCTTGCTGGGGGTCTTCCTCTTTTTCTCTGACCCTCCACCTTACCAAACATTATATCCTTCTCCACTGACTGGTCCCTCCTGAAAATATGTCCGAAGTATGAGACACGAAGTTTGGCCATCCTGGCTTCCAAGGAGCACTTCCAACACAGATCTGTTGGTTCTTTTGGCAGCCCATGGCACTTTCAATATTCTCCTCCAACACCGTAACTCAAAGGCATCAATTCTTCTACGGTCTTCCTTATTCACTGTCCAACTTTCACATGCATATGAGGTTATTGAAAATACCATGGCCTGAATCAGGTGCACCTTAGTCCTCAAACTGACATCTGTGCTCTTCAACGCTTTAAAAAGATCTTGTGCAGCAAATTTGTCTAATGCAATACATAGTTTGTTTTCTTGACTGCTGCTTCCATGAGTGGTGGTTGATCTGAGAAAAATGAAGTCTTTGACAACTTCAATCTTTTCTCCAACGATAAGAATGTTGTTTATTGGTCCAGTGGTGAGGATTTTTGTTTTCTTTACATTGAGATGCAATCTACATCAAAGTCTGTGGTCATTGATCTTCATCAGTATTTTAAGTCCTCTTCACTTTTAGCAAGCAAGGTTGCATCATCTGCATGTCACAGGTTGTTAATGAATCTTCCTTCAATCCTGATGCCACGTTTTTCTTCATATAACCCAGCTTCTCAGATTACATGAGCAGAAGCCCTGATCTTTCTCCCATGAACAGCTGTTAGTTTCAAACTGCTGACCTTGAGGTTAGCAGCCTAATTTGTAATTATGCTACCAGGGATCCATATATAGGCAGGGGAGGAAGTTGGTGGGAGGGTAGGAGTAAAGAGTGAGAGTTCAGGTGTGGACTATCACTAGGTCTCAGCTAACCCTAAGACATCATTTAGTGTTAGGGTTAGTGTTAGGGGTTAGGGCTGGGGCTAGGGTTAGGAGTCAGGCTCAGTCTAGTTTTAGGGTTACAGTTAGGTTAATTCATTTTTATTTTCAGGAAATCTACTTGATTTCCTCTTCATTTGGAACTTCTGTAACTACATGATTACATCATTATAAACTTTATGTTGTTTTATGCAACTGTATATTTCGTTCTCTATTTTCAGGCTTGAAAACCTGAGTTCTGGGTGATACTAGAATGTATGTTAGTCTCAGGTTGTTGTCTGCTGTTATTGGTTCTCTGTCCAAAGAACTTCCTTTAGTGTGTTTTTTGTAAGGTTGTACTGCTTATTACAAATTCGTTTAATTTCTGTTCATATGAAAATGACCTAATTTTGTGACTGTTATTTGACAGACAATTTTGTTGGATGTACGAGTCTTGGTTGGCAATTTTTTCTATGCCATTTCATAATCAACTTACCTGCATGATTTCTGTTGAGAAATCAGAGCTCAATCTTAACGATTTTTCTTTGTGTAACTTTTAATTTTTCCTGAGCTGTTCTCAGGATTATTTCTTGTCTTTTGGTTTTGGGAAGTTTGATTATAATATGTTTTGGCGTTTCTCTTTTGGGGTCTATCCTGTTTGGAGTTTGTTCAGTTCTGAGCTATCTTCTCATCTTTCATAATGTTAGAGAAGTTTTCTTCCAACAACTCTTGGACAGTATTCTCAATGGGTTTTTTGTCTCTTCCTCCTCTGGAATTCCAATCACATGTAAATTATTCCTCTTGATAGTGTCCTACATAAATCTTAGGGTTTCCTAAGATTTTTCCCCTGGTTGTTACACTACCAGATGAATGTTGGAGATTTTTCTTCAAGCTCATTAATTCAGCCTTTGATTCAGTTCTACTTATTTGCCATTCAAGTGTGTAGGCTTAGTATTAATCTTCTGACTTTCTAATTAATGTTTTTGTATTGTTCCTATCTTTCATTTGTCACTTTGTTTCCTGAGTTTTTCTATTGTTTTGTCCATGTTTTCCTTGATTTCAGTTGCAGTTTTCTCTATCATTCTCTCAATCCGTTGAAGTTGCCTAAATA